CCTGCTTTGCAGTGCTCTCACCATCAAAGTGCTCATACTTTGGAGGGGCTGCAGAAGGCTTTTCCTGAAGGACAGAGTCAACCTCCTCTTCTCCACCACTCAGCTCCAGTTGCAGTTGGGACTTCATCCAGTTACTGAGCAGCTCCTGGGCTACCATGAAGAAAGAGACTGATGACTTTACTTCCTTAAAAAAACCCATATGGCTAAGTGTAAACTAGCAGTAGTCTGGGATAGTTATATCACATGCTAGGAATGACTGAAACCTGATCTGCAACAAGAAATGGAATAAAGCTAATAGTTCTGTTCTTAGATTCTTGATCTGTAAAAGAACAGGAAGAGAAGGTGGCAAACTTTTTCCATCATGTATATCAGAAATTAATTCTTCTCCATCTCATTTTTACTATGATTCTGCAGGCATTTAGATCACTTCTGATTATTTTCTAGCATTTATCAAGGAGATGGAATTCACATGAGATAATTCATAATTTAGATAGCTTTCATATGTTTTACCACTGCACTTGCAGACACTGAGATGGTTTCCACATGTGCAGCCAAGGCTGTCATATGCTAAATTCAAAAGAACCACTGTTTGGACAAACTTTTGCTTCGTGTGTACAGGTTAACTCTTTGCAAGTGCCACAGAAACAACTGGTGAGTCTAATTACAAATCTGTCAGGTGGCAAACTTCACCTGGAACTCAGGGTTAAGACTGCTACAGGAATGCACCCATGATGGATGTGGTACTCCTCAATGAGCTCAAATGCCTAATGAAAAAGTGGGTATGAAGTCCTTCAATGGACTGTTTGCATCTCCATTCTTTTCTGTGGAAAAATGAAAGAAATCCTTTTTCAGAGTTTCTTCTCAAAAGCAAAGTCAGTTCATGCGTCTGCTGCCTCAACAAACCAGATGGCCTTGCTGCATGGGTGGCCAAGCTGCTCCTGAAGCAGGACACAGGGCTGTGAACTGCAAGGCATCAGCAGCAGACCCACGAGAAGCAGAGCCATCCTCAGCCATCCGTGCAGTGAGGATGGACAAAGAGCTGGTATCCCAGCAGCCACTCCAGCGGGAGTCATGACACAGTGTAAGACACACAGGCAACGGACAGGAGCAAGCAGCTGCTCCTCATATCCACTCCTAACACACAGTGAAGATGCTCCCTGGTATTTCTAAGGCAATAAAGCCTTTTTCAAACTTTTTTTGAAAATGGTGAGTTTTTTTAAGAAAACATAAATCTAATGTTTTTTGTCCTTCAAATCACTTTTATTCTCTTTCATAATCTCTCCAGCCAGATCAGGAACAGGGAAATATATCTGATAACAGAAAGAAGAGCAGAAAACAACTTGCAGCTTGGGGAAGGGTTACTTTTTTCACTGGGATTTGTGATCTTCTCGTAACTAGAGTAAAAGTCTTCTGGCACTTCTCTTTACAAAGTGGGCTTTGTGTAGTTACTACCATTAAGTATTGTAATAATGGATTCCAGGTAAAAGAATTTCAGTTGAGTTAGGAACAATTCTGAGGGACTGGTAGCTATAAAAAGAAAAATCCTAGCAGAAAAGGGCAAACAAAAATAATAAAGAAGCACGAGGAAAGCAAGCAACCTTTCCACCAAAAGAAAAGACAAGGTTTTTCACCGCAGCAAAGACAGCTCCTTTGGAGCCATTGGCTGCACAATGCATTCAGACAGGGCACTGTAAGCAGGTAAGTGTATTCCATGCTGTTAGCTGAACCCTTGATGATTACAAGTGAAAAAGCTGACTTCCTGGATTGAAGTGGATGCTCTTAAGATGTGTCCTCATCTTGTTCTGTAATGCTGACTTTTGATTCTTAAAAGAATGGTTAACTCAGTTTTTAAAATACTGTCTCCTATCCGCTTTTTACACTGCAGACATATTTCTAGCACTGATGGGTGATAATTTCCCTCCTTTTGGTTTTTTAAACCTATCACAGCTTTACTTTCAGACTTCAGCAAGCACTTTTGGCTGCAGGCTTTACAAAAGAAATATTTATTTAGGTAACTAGTGAGGAAAATTTTGCATGGGAATCAAAACCACACTGTTATTCATATATGTGAAATTTACAGAGTGACTCCATTTCCACAACTAATCTGCTATCATAAATGTCAGGTGATTTCACCTGGTTTCCTGTAATGCACTACCTTGGTTTTGACCATACAGTGTATCTTCAAGGGCAGTTCTTATCCTTGTCTTGACCTGGTATCTCCAGGAGATGGAGAGTTTATCCTTCTCTCAGGTATGCCATTTAAGACCTGCCTTAAACTCCAGCAATTGATCCTTCTTATGCCTTTCTCCATTAGATGAAGGACATCTTCCTATCAACTGTTTCTTGTGAACTCAAGCTTTGCAAGACCCTGTTCAGGTCAGAACCACAAAGCTGGATCAAGAACAATTCATTTTAGGCATCTTGTGGCAAGCAGAATTTTACCTCACCTTCCTCACAGGCCTCACGATGAACTTGCAGCCGTTCTGCAGTTTCCAAACTTGTCACAGGACCCCAAGGCCTCTGTGGACACCTTGACTTTTGAAGGGAAAAAGCTTCACAGACAGCATACTCAGAGGCTCGGTCCACTCTCTTAAATTAAAGAAAGGAAAACATTTCTAAGGATATTTATTTTTACACTTCTATATCCACTGTTTCCTCCTGAGAGCAAACATCAGTGGGAACGTAACATAAAAGCATGGCTGTTATAAAGTAACAGATTGTTTCTGAAATGCATTTCTACAACTGCTTGCTTGCATAAACTGGACTTAGAAGTCATTAGGCAATAAACACTCATATGGCAATTAGTGCCAAACACAGAGACTGGAGAACAGAGAGAGAAGAGAAACACCCAGCCCCTGGGGGCTGGATGGAGACTTGCTGAGCTGGTGCCCAGCAACCAGCAACTATGGAATTTGATATCACCTTTTTGTCATAGCCAGGCTGAGAGAATTCCTGTCCCATATTCATCTTTCTGAAATGTTAATGGTCCTGATGTGTCACTGTGTTTTCACAAGTAACACCTGTGCCCCAGACAGTCCAGATTGCTGAACTCCTTCCCTCTGTGCTGCTGCCAGAGGCCCAGGATGCTGCCTGAGGAAGCAGATACACAGTCCTACCTGCCACAAGAAGCAGGCTGAAGGTTGGGAGCATGTATGTGGGTGGGTGTGCCCAAGGAAGCAAAACAAATGGAACCTCACTCTAGAATTCATTTTCTTTGATGTCAGGTGGTTGCAGGTGCAGGACATGGTGTTTTGGGGTAAATCTCTTGTATTACTTGCCCAAAAAACCTGCAGCACTCCTCAACACCAATTTTTTTTTGTGTTGTCTTTTATGCACAGCAACAAAACACCTTATTCTTCATAGAGTTTGGATTAGAAGGTACCTTTACAGGTCAATATAATCCAGCCTCCCTGGCATGAGGAGGGACATCTTTGATAACACCAATTTGGATGGTAATGTTGCTCTACTTGGGAGCAGGAAGGCTCTGCAGAAGGGTCTGGACAGGCTGGATTGATGGGCTGAGGCCAATTTCATGAAGTTCAACACGGTCAAGGGCCAGGTCCTGCACTGGGGTCACAACCCCAGGCAGCACCACAGGGTGGGGAAGAGTGGCTGGAAAGCTGCCCGGCAGAAAAGGACCCGTGGGGGCTGGCTGACAGCAGCTAAACATGAGCCAGCAGCGTGTCCAGGTGGCCACGAAGGCCAATGGCATCCTGGCCTGTATCAGCAATAGTGTGGCCAGCAGGACCAGGGCAGGGATTGTCCCCCTGTACTCGGCACTGGTGAGGCTGCCTTGAGTCCTGTGTCCAGTTCTGGGTCCCTAAATTCAGGAAAGACACAAGAGGTGTGTATTCAGAAGTCAAAGCTGCTGAAGGGTCTAGAGGAACAGCTGGGGGAACTGGGATTGTTTAGTATGGAGAAATGGAGGCTCAGGGGTGAACTTGTCACTCTCTACAACCACCTGAAAGGAGGATGTAGCCAGGTGGGGGTTGGTCTTTCCCCCTTATCCTGTAACAAGTGACAGGATAAGGGGGAACAGCTTCAAGTTTTGTTATGGGATATTTAGATTGGATATTAGGAAAAATCTCTGCACTGAAAGGGAGATCAGGCATTGGAACAGACTGCCCAGGAGAGAGGTTGAGTCACCATCCCTGGAAGTGTTCAACACAAGAGGTGTGTATTCAGAAGTCAAAGCTGCTGAAGGGTCTAGAGGAACAGCTGGGGGAACTGGGATTGTTTAGTATGGAGAAATGGAGGCTCAGGGGTGAACTTGTCACTCTCTACAACCACCTGAAAGGAGGATGTAGCCAGGTGGGGGTTGGTCTTTCCCCCTTATCCTGTAACAAGTGACAGGATAAGGGGGAACAGCTTCAAGTTTTGTTATGGGATATTTAGATTGGATATTAGGAAAAATCTCTGCACTGAAAGGGAGATCAGGCATTGGAACAGACTGCCCAGGAGAGAGGTTGAGTCACCATCCCTGGAAGTGTTCAAACAACCTGTGGATGTGGCACTTGGGATCATGGTTTGGTGGTGAACACGGTGGTGCTGGATTAATGGTTGGACTCAATGATCTTAGAGGTCTTTTCCAACCTTAATGATTCTGTGATCTTCAACCACCTCAGCTTACTCAGAGCCCCGTCTAACCTGATCCTGAATGTCACTGTGCAAGTTATTCAGCCTTGGCCCATTGTTCCAAGCTACCCACACCCCGGCAGGGACTAAGGAAAACCACAGCGTTCCAACTTCCCGTGCCTCCTCCTGAATCCGAGTTTCACAATGCCAGTTTCAGCGCCTTTCGCTCGAGTCCAGCGCAGATTTCCCACCCGCCGGCAAACCTCATCCGCGATCCTGACCCTGCCGCGCTAACTGCCCGCGATCCCAAGGAAGCGGGATCCCAGGGAAGCGTCCCGGCCCCGGCGCCCCGCGCGCGGCTGAGGCGAGCGGGCCGCGCTGCCCCCGCCCTGCCCCGTTACCTGCGGGAGGCGCTGCCCGCGGTGCGGCCCCGGCCGCGGCCCCGTGAGGGCCATGGCCGCGCCGGGCACCGCCGCCCGCCGCCCGCCCCTCTCGGCCATGGCAACGGAAGGCGGAGCGCGCCCCCGGCGCCCGCTGATGACGCGCGGGGCCGGGGTGGGAAGGGGCGTCCCGCGTTCTCCGCGTCCCTCGCCGCGCCGCGGGGCGAGGATGAGGCTGAAGCTGCTGGGTGCGGGCGGCGGGCGGCTGGGCTCGCTGACGGGGCTGGGCCGCGGCGGGGCCGGCGCGCTGGTGCTGCCCGGCTGCCTGCTGTACACGCGCGGCGGCGCGGCGCCGCACCTGACCCACGACACGCTGCGGGAGGTGCGCGGCGTGCCCGGCGTGGCGCACATCGCCCTGCCCGCCCTGTGAGTACCGCGCCCGGGCCGGGGGGCCTGCTCGCCCGTCCGAGGGAGGTGCGGGCGCTGGGTAGGAAAGGTCAGGGGAAGGGAGCTGGAGGGCTGCGTGATTTTTAGCGTGTTTAGGCCAAACCCATCGCAGTCATCTTCCTGAGGTGGGCAGCAGGGCGGGGGAGGTGGTTCTGCCCCTCGGCTCTGCTGGCACCCCACCGAGAGTGCTGCATCCAGCTCTGGAGCCCGCACCATGAGAAGGAGGTGGGCCTGTTGGACCAGGTCCTTTGAGCGCCACAGAGATGCTCAGAGGGCCGGAGCATAATTCCTGTAACAACAGGCAGAGAGATTTGGGGGTGCTCAGCCTAGAGAAGAGAATGGTCCAGGGAGACCTTTTGCCAGGCTTCTGATACCTAAAGGGGGATTATAGGACAGATGGGGACAGATTTTTAATAGAGCCTGTTGTGGTAGGATTAGTAGTAATGGGTTTAAACTATGAGGGTATCTCTTGTGATGAAGGTGGTGAAACACTGGACCACGTTGCCCAGAGAGGTGGTAGGTACCCCATACCTGAAGGCATTTAATGTAAAACTGGTAGTTTTGCATTAAACTAGTAACTCTCAAAACTAGTTAAGCTGCAACTGAAAGGAAAGCTTAACATGGTGAAGGTTGTGCAGTCGTTGAATGGTGTGAACACATTAGTGATGCTGCCCAAAACGTCATAGTGTAGCTGCATGCTCTCCATCAAGTCAGCGGTCCCTGGTCAGTGCAGGTGTAAGCTTTACTTTTTTGCCACAGAATTGTGAGTGTCCCAGTGTGAGCTGTGATTCTAGAGCTCTGTGTTTCTGCCATTTCATTCCATCTGTCCCTGCTTCACTGCCTGACAGCCGGATGGCAAATACCAGCTCAGTGTCAGACAATGCATAAGTACAGAAAAAAAAAGTGCCTTAGTTATGAAACCACCAATCCCTCTAGACAGTTGTCTGCTTAGTTAATGTGTTCCTGTATCTGGATTGCAGGGCAGAAATTCATGACGTCCTGGAAGAGTATAAAGAAGGAGCTGCAAAATTTATGGGTAAAGTACAAGTATTTCCTTGTGTATCTGAGAGATGATGCAGGTGGATCCCACTAGAGCATGTTCAGGTAATATAGTAGGCAGAAAGGTGTAGGCTTTGCACATTTAGGGATTTTCTCACTCAAAATGGCAATAGGGAAGACTTGAAAATGTATATTGTCACTAGTATGGCCAAAAATCCTTCAATCAGGCTACAGAGTGATGATGTGTCTGTAATTTCTGTAAATTACAGACAGTTCTTTGTGTATGGAATCTAGCACATTTTGCAAAAAAAAAAAAAAAGGTGAGTTGCCTAAGTTTGTTTTGTTTGTTTCAGTTTTTTAAAAAGCACATAAAAATTTGGGACATGCATTTCATTATGTATAAAAAAAATTGTGGTTTGGCTTTCCAAAGGAATTTTGCACCCAAATTTCAATAAACAATATGTGTTTGGGGCAATTTACTCCTTCAAGAAAAAATTGAAAAATGTCTTTGGAACTTCCTGGAAGCTTTACCAGTTTCAGTGACTGTCTCTGAAGAGAAGGCTGTATGTCATGGAGACACACTGTCTAGCTTTCTGACATTTGAAATCTCCAGTCCAGCAGGGATGATAAATTTCTCATTTGTGTAGTTGATACTTTCTCTCACTCTCCTATTGTCACTCTTGTGAGTGTGGTGAGCCACTCAAAGAACTTGTGAATGTCCCATCCCTGGAAATGTTCAAGGCCAGGTTGGATAGGGCTTTGAGCAACATGGTCTAGCGTGGTGAGCCACTCAAAGTCATTCAAGTGAGTCATTCACTCACTTGTGAATGTCCCATCCCTGGAAATGTTCAAGGCCAGGTTGGATAGGGCTTTGAGCAACATGGTCTAGTGGAAGGTGTTCCTGCCCATGAGGCATGATCTCTAAGGTCCCTTCCAAGCCAAACCATTCTATGATTCTACTTTGTCCTTCCTTAAAAGTTCTAGGCTTGGGATTGTTGCTAGTTTGGATTGTGTCAGGTGTCTCCAGTGTATCAGTTATCAGTTGAGTGGCCAAGTGGTCAGCTGTTGGGTCTGGAAAATTTTAATAGGTGGAGTATTAATCAAGAAGTAACGTAAAGAAATCCCAAAGCAGCTATGCATGCTGCAGAACCAAAGAATGTTGTTTCATGGTTTGTCTTGCTGCTGCACTCTTCTCCAGACAGTTAGTAAAGCTGGGGAAGAAGTCTGTCTTCTTTGGTGCTGAGAGATAGATGAACAATATTTTCTTAATCAGAATGGATGTATTTGTGTGGGGGACAATACCCTGTTCCCTTTTGCAGATCTGCAAGCCTCATCTTTGCCTTAGCTTTGTTTTGGTTCATGAAACTCTGCTCTGGATCTGTCTGTTTTCAGGTATGCCAGATGCTGTGCTCTACTGCTCCCTTCATGACCCAGTCACTCCCTGCCCCTCTGGCTACAACACTAACAAGGTACAGTTGCTGTAAAGACTTGAAAGGGTCCTCCTAAAGTTCCCAAAAGAAATCTGCCAGTCCTCCCTTCATCTTTGTGGGTGTGCTCAGATAGCCATAAGATTAGCAAACTAAATCTTTGCACAGAGAGGATTGTCATTTACGTGCTCATACCTCCAAGTAAATGAAGCTGTACATGTTCTTACTTGGCAGCATGTTCCCTGAATGGTTCCTGAGCAGTTAAGTGGCAAAAGTGGCAACTCAGGTAGAAAGGAGGGGTCTGGATTACCATGCTGTTGTGGTTTAAATGGCAGTAAAATACCCTTGTTTTGGCATATTTGCTGCACAAGCTTGTGCTCCTGCTGCGAATAAGCAGTAAATCTGAACCCCTGTGTGTGTATTTACATACAGCCTGCTACAGGCCCACAAAGGGGAAGGACATCAGAATTTTTGCAGGAGGGTGGCTCAGCAATCCAGGAGTGCATAGTTGCAGACATTTGCCTGTTCCACCCCAAAAGGCACACGTGCTGCTGTGAAATCCACACACTGCCTGACACAGCTTCATGCTGGAGCTCCTGGCACCTGCTCAGATACATCAGTCCCAAGGGCTGTTTGGGTATGCCCACATTTGGTGGAAGGTCACTGAGTGATGGAAGATAACTCCTGCCAGACAGTTATCAGTGTATATTCCTTGCTTCTGGGAGCCAGGCTGAGTCCTGTCTCTCTGCAGGGAAGGAATTACCTGAAGCTTGTCCCACTGTTGTGCAGCTTTGAGGTGAGAGCAGCAATCTGAACGTGGGAGTTTGGTTCAGAGTTTTTTTGGTTTTTTAAATAAGCTGGTGAGAATATCTGTCACCTTGTTGTAAGGCCTTCTGCAGCTGGATCTGTGCTGACAAATACTTATGAAAGCTTTTTGAAAGCAATAGGACAGAAAGCTCTGTGCCAGAAAGCCTAGCACTAGCTGGATTTAAATAATCACAGGATAATGCTCAGCTCTCTAAGCTGCATGGCTATTTTATTTATTAAAGCAGCTTTTTTCCTCTCGAGAACAGAATGAAGGTAACTAGATGTGATTACACTCTGCCCTTTGCCTCAGACAGCTCTGACTTTCCTCTGCCTGCCTTCACCCTGATGCTGTCATAGTAAAAGGCAGTAGGTAATGTCTGAACAACATGCTGCTGCAGAAAAACATACAGCTGCTGTGTTTCAGTTATTCTGTAGATGCAAATTTTGGAACTCTTTGGAGTTGCTCTTTTTTTTTAGTTGGAAATTTGCAAAAAAAAAAAAATTATTGTTTTGGAGACTTCTGGTTTTATTCAAATTTGGTGAAATTGGCTGATAAGGCCAAAGTAATCAGGATTGATGGATGGGCAACAGGCACACAGTATACTTGTGCAGTCCTTTTGGGTCTTTGTAGGGACCAGGCCAAAAAAAAAGGCTTCTGCTCATATTTTTTGCATCTGCTACTGAAATTAAATTTGCAAATTAGTGTACATGAGAACTGCACTGCTTAATCTGTCTGTCTGGCACAGGCTAGGAGAATGTGTTTATACCCTCAGGCCCCAAAAAGTGCCCATAACACTCCAAGCTATATGCTGTTTCTGATGGCTGAAAACCTTTCTCATTTAAAAAGGCATGAACAGAATTGCAGATGAAAAGAGCTGACTTCTGAAGGGCTCAAGCCCTTTACTTAACCTACTTGAATACCCCTTTAAAGTTTCGGAGCAGCATTTTCACAAGCCAAACAATAATACAACCAAAGCAATGGCCAAGCTGCACTCACAGGTTAATTACATGTTCTGCAAAATAGGCTAAAATGTGAACATTTTATGAATCTGAATGTTTAGTGAATTGAATGGTGACACCTGCTAGGTGTTCAGGTAAGATAGCCTCCCTGTCCACATGCTTTTGTCTTGCTATAAATTCTTTTGAAGGGATCACGGAGTAACGATGGAAGATGGGGTCCCATGTGTGCTGGCAGGATGGGAATCATGTGAAGAGACAGGGAAGATTGTGTGTGAAATCCTAATGAGCATGAGCCATTCCTTACATCAACTTGTTTTGGGTATTTCAGTGCCTTCTAGAGTTGCTGGATTTGGGACCTAAAATAACATGAGGTTCTAAGATTGAGTGCTGAACAAGCTTTTGTATTCTTTCCAGACTGCATGGTTTATATAAATACATGCATTCACGTGTGTTGTGTGAGTTAAGTGCTCAGGAGAGAAGAGTTTGCATTTTGTACAGAAAACTAGCAAATTGTATTTGCCATTGTAGCCTTTGCTGCTTTTTATAAGCTTTTGCTTACTTGACAACTAGTTTAGTGGTAAAAAAAAAAAAAGCTTTTTTTTTTCCCCAACTCTGCCACTAATTTGTGTGATGGGAGGCCAGCTGCTCTATCTTGGATTTTTAAACATGGAGAAGTCAGTGTTGAGTGGGATGGTTTCACCAAAGAGTATTGTAGAAGTTCATTCATTTATCTCCTTTCATTCACTGTGCCAAGTGCAGCTGATTATCTGAGCCATGCTCCAGGGGAATTATCTAATGAGCTCTCATTCCAGTAGCTGGTGTTTCACCAGACCAATTCCTTCTCTCCTTTCACCCTTAAGATCTGCTGTCCTTTGCAACTGCTGTTCATCCCTGTTCTTCCTGTACAGACGGTCTCCCTGTGGGGAAGCTCAGGGCGCATGGAGATGACAGCTTCCAAGTTCATGGACATCCAGCGGGCCATCCAGCCAGACTGGTTCCAGTGCATCTCTGATGGAGACGTCATTTCTGGGGAAGCTGGCAGAAAAAGAGCCAAGAAATCTGTGGATAGGTCACTTTCCTTCTTGGATGTCTGCCTTCAGCTGCAAGAAAAATCACCGGTAAGGTCCCGAAGATACTGAGGCAATATCACTGCAAGTGCTTCTTGGTCTGTGCTGCATCCTGGACCAGCCCCAGGAAATTGTAATAGGAAGTTGTGTCACATGTGTCTATCAGAGAATGCCCAGCTTACAGTCCAGAGTGAGGTATAGCCAGTAGCACAGTGAGTGAGTTTTTCTTCCTTCCTTTAGTAAATTGTCTTCTGCACTAGGATCACCCCTCATCTCTACTCGTAGAGGAGAACTACATTTTAGGATTTTTCTTTCTGCTTTTGGGTTGTGTTGCATTTCACTTACTTTATTATTAGATGCATTGGCAAAGTGGAATCTTCTTATTCAGATTGAGAAAACCCATCTTTTTGCTCTGAAGTCCCCTTGGTTCCAAGTGAGAGAGGATTTGATAGAATTAGTAAGTGCTATTCTTTATTTCTTCCAGCAGCTCTGAAACTTCCCTCCCTTTTAGTGAAAGGAGACATACTATCTGAGTCTGCACTACAAGGGAAAACAGGTGACAAGTTAGTGTTTGGATCTCCTGAAAGGGAATTCCCTGTGCCATCTGACATCTGAGAGCCAGGATAATGGCACCTGCTTTGTATTTTGCACTAACACATCCATTGCTGAGACCCCCATCCATAAAAAGCCATGTACAAAGATGGTGTGTGGTTATTCCCTTCTGTAGGGAGGTGGGAAGAGTGGCATCAAGATTCTCAGTGAGTTAGTATCAAGGCAAGGAGCAGAATCTGTCTCCAGTAGTCCCATTTCTGACACATGGATTCACTGTGTTGTGTGGGGAATAATCTTTAATGAGATGAAACTCTGTGGTTCTGGCAAGTTCCTGGGAATGTGAGGCTTAAGTAGCAGGCATCTGAAGTCTGGGCTGTGAGATGTCTGGCAGAGCATGCTCTAACACTTGTAGCTTTCTCCTGGGACAGGAACTACAAGGAAGTGTAATGTTTGGGGCAATTGAAGGTGGAGATGTCTTGGAAGAGAGGCTCAGATCAGCCAGGGAGACTGCCAAGCGGCCTGTGGGTGGCTTTCTGCTAGATGGCTTCCAGGGAAGTGCCATGACCAAGGAGACCAAGTTGAAACTGATAGCTTCTGTCACAGCAGAGCTGCCAGAGGATAAACCAAGGTAAGTTGTGTGGGCAGCGTCCCAAGAAATCCATCTGTCCTGTTATGAGGAACATCTACAGGCTGCTGTGCAGTTTTTCTGTAGGAAATAATGACTGTATTGCACAGCTGTGTGTGTGCCAGGCTGCCTAAATTTTACCATTGTCAGGCTGCAGTCTTCAACACTTGTTTCAGTTTTTAGCTGTAACTGGCACTAGACTTTGGTCATACTGTGGGTTTGAGGAAAAGTTTTTAGGAAGAGTTACAGGTAGGATATATCAGGGTTACTTGCATTTGGAGGCCATGGTTTACTTGAAGTTCATCTTGAACAAAAATGTTATTATCAAGGTATTTTACAGGGACTTCTTCTCAGTAAAAATGTAATGTTTCCAGTTCTCTCTGGCCTGAACTGGCAGATGGCAGAGAGGGGTGCTGGCAGAACCAGCCAGTGCTTGCTACACGATCTTGGTAGCCAGCTCTGTCCTAGTACCTGAGGCACTGAGCCTGTGCACTACACAGGTACAGGCTGGCCCAGAACAGTGGTATTCTCTTCTTGGACAGTGTGGGGTTTATTGCATATCTGAGTTGTTAGCTGTGCCCATCAGACCCATGCCAAGAACTGGACAGGAGTGGCAGCTTTCTTAATCCTTATAACTGACAAACAGTAAGTAAGACTTCTTGAAAATGTGTGCTAATATTTGCTAGTGGTTCAGAAGTGTAGGGTTTTGTTTATTGGGTTGAGCTCACTGGATTGTTCTTACCAGAGCAACTGCTACAGAAATAATATAGTTGCTTTTTTCGTCATTTCCTGAAGAGAATGACTGAGGCCCCATTGTGTTTCTGCCTCCCTCTGCTAGCAGAGCATTGCTCTGACCTAATGGTGTTTAAAAGGAAATTAAATGCAAGAGCACTGTGTCTGGTGTTGCAGCTTGTTCTTGCTTAGGGGTGCCTGGGGTTTGAATTTTCCTGACAATTAGGAGGCTTGCTGTGTTATTGCTATCCTGCCTGGTTGAGCTACTTAAAAGATCCCCTGGGAGCATTAGAGTCCAATCTGCTCAGCTAACCTCAGTGGCTACCAGTGCATCTGCCTCATCTATCAAATAGTTTGCTTGTCTTGTTAAGACAAGTGTTTCTGACCTCTTGATAGGAAGAGAGCTGGTTAGCCCCAGGGGGCCTTGGAAGTACCTCACGTGAATTTTAGGCAGTTCTTGCTCCTGAATCACCCTTGCCATTGTGGCTGGAGAAGTTGTTCTTCATCTCTGTTCTACCCCAGCATGAAATTCTCTAGAAGACAAACACTTTTTATGCCTCACTCAAGAAGTGGCTGCTTTTTGTGTGATTGTAAAATGATCTTATGAGTGTACTCTTGATAAAGAATCCTTTCATGTACCTAATGGGGCTGAAGTCTCTTGATAAAATTTGTTTTCCTTTCCAATAGCATAGCAACCCTTGCAAGAACAAATGTTTGTTCTTACCTGTGCTGAGATGAGTTTCAACAAGGCTTTGACCATATATGCAGAGCTGCTGTTTTGACTTTCGAATTTCATTTTCTCCCTGTCATGGGAACCTGAAACATAAAACACTCATGCTGTAAACTTCTCATATCCTTATTCTGTGCTCATCAATTTAATTGGAGTACTTAGAAAAGTGACTAAAAATGGCACCTTGTGACTTCATTTATCAGCCCCTGTGTACTTTCCTAATTATCTGTTTAGCTCATTGCCCTACATTAACTTCTACTGCTTTCAGCCCAGCCATGCACCTGCAGGAGAGCAGGCACTGCTCTTCGCTCTTACACTTCACCCACTGTCGGTGAAGCTGCCAACTAAATTTGGCTGCCAGCAGGATCTCTATTACCACTGATGGCAATCCAGCCAGGCTCTTCCTGGCTCTTAATGCCATATCTCAGGAGATGTTACAGCCCACGTTCTTGGGTAAATCATTTGAGCAGATAGAGTGTAAAGAGAAGGGAAAACTAAAGCAAGGAGGTTTTCTCTTTCTAACAATGTTTTCAATTAGTGAGTTCTCCCTCAGGCAGTTTTCCAAGTGCTATAGGATGTGTCTGTCACCTGAAGGACTTGTGTCTTTGACCAGCCATCTACTGCTGTCTCTGTTGAGACTCTTTTTAAACAAGCTAACAAGCTAAGAAGCAAAAGTATCCATGTGTTGCGAATTGGTAGTTCCTTGGGTCACAAACATGATTCAGGAAAATACCTGTTCTATGGCACAGATGTTATGAATCTAATGGTATTTATGTGTATGTGAAAGAAATCACATACAAGTCACTTCAAACACAATGAACAGAATGGGGTTTTTCCACAGTAAATGAGGGATTTTTGCTGTCTTCCAAAGGGCAAAGAATGAAAAACCTGTTATGTACTGGATATGTGGGAAGTGGAAGCACATGGAATTTTGAGTGATGACTGTTAGCAGTGCAGAGATAAGCTGTGTGTGCTGCACATGACCTGGAGGTCTTCTCCTTCTGGTACCTGCTTGCTTCTACTCAGAATATTGTATATTTTCCTTCCTGTGTGTCTCCTACAGAATCATTCATGGTGTAGGCAAACCAGATGAGGTGCTTGAGTGCATTGAAAGGGGAGTGGACATTTTTGAGAGCTTCTTTCCCTTCCAAGTGACAGAGCGAGGCTGTGCCTTGGTTTTCAGTTACAACTGCCATCCAGATCCTGAAGCAACAGGTAGGCTTCTTGATGGTTGTTATAGTTTTTGCATTTTATGTTGTGGTAAGCATAATTCATACTTGGGACCAATCTGTATTTGAGCGCTTTGTTCCTGAAATAAGTGCAGTGACTACTGGAAAACCTGGGATTCCACTACTACGTGTTGCTTTAGGAGGCGGGGTGCTTTGGTGTGATATCTGTTGAGTAAAACTTGAGGACTCTGAATGTCTCATTAGCCAAAATATGATGATTAAATATTTCTTAAACAGCTCTTGAATAGAGGAGTTTTAGCTTGACACCCTTGGCAAATTTTCCATTACCGTTAGCAGTGAAGGCTGGATCTGTTAAGTGATCTCTAGAGTTAAATTATTATGTGTCTGTTGCAGTAATGTATTTTTGAAGTTCTTTTTTCTAGCTGTCAGAAGTTTCCCATTTATTTGGGCAGTTTTCCTCTCTGTCCTTGCATTCATAGGTTTACATCAAAACCAAAATGCTCTGTTCATTATACTGTGAGATGGAAATGTGTATCACCCATTAAAGCACCTATCAAGTGTGTTTCAAGCAGCTGTTTTGTTTTGGCCTATTAAATGTTTTTAATACAGGGAAACATTACACATTTTTTCTCTTGGGTAGAACCTAGTGGCTTTTCATGCCTGGATAATTCAGAGCCAGCTGAATAGAACAGAACATCTTGTTTATTCATGCTTGTTGCTATTTTTTAACACTTTTCTTTGTTTGTTGTTCTTTGTCTTGTCTTGCCTTATTCTTAAATAAGGCTCTGGGTAGTGGCAGTGGTTTTGTCCTGTGTCTGTTTTAAACACGGTAGGCATGGATTATGCAAACAGTAATATGGCATTTCAAGATACATCTCCTTCTCCTTAAGAACAAACTCAAAAATGCAAACCTATAAAGTCAGGGGATGTTTCTTTATTTTTCAGATAGATGCTGAAAAGGCAGATGTTGAGCCACCTCTTCAGAATAAATGCTACCAGCCTCTTTTGATTCCAGGGTTTTTAAAAAAAAAAAAAACCAAGAGGCATCTAAATCCCTGAGTGATCACAGCATGGAAAGTAGAATGACTGAATGCAGATGAGTTGCCTGTCTACTCTAACAAAATCTCAATAAAATCCATTTGTTCAGGTCATTGCATTCTATTCAGCATGCAGTTCAAACAAAGTACTTTTGACATTTTACAAAGAAGTCAGCTCAGTAGAGCAGCAAAAAGTTATACTGTTATTTCAGCTCTAACTTTTTATTAGTTCTAGTTGATTAGTTTTCACTTGTCTCTTGCTGTTTTGATCATCTGATAGTGTATTTGTGTTAACTAACCTACAGCAATTAAAGTAAAATATCTGCTTTCTAGAAAAAAGAGGTGGAGACTTGTGGCAGAAGTTTTCAGCTGGCAAGAAAGTAGCAGAAATTTCTGTAAGGTTGCTACCTTTGCTTTGCTCTTGTTCTCTATTCTAAGGGTGTTGTCTTTTTAATTTAATCAGTTTTAACACAAAATGGGATCCAGGACCTGGAGGAGAATGGTGCTCAAGAAGGCCAGGAGGAAGTCTCCAAAGCTGACCCAGAAATGACACCATTTGAGATATCTCTGAAGGATAAAAAGTATGTGAGTTTGTGAGGAGGGTACCTGTATTGTATGACTAAATACACTGCTTTAGTCCTCTCTATTTATTTGCAACTGGTCAGCAGCTGGATAAGAAACTTCATAAAACATGAAGCTGTTGAAGAGAGTACTTCTGGACACTGAGCAGATAGTGTTGGACAAGAACTCTAGCTTGTTCTCAGGCAACAGCCTAGCTCTGAAAGTGCTGTCTTTTGCCTGACCTAGAGGTTTTCTGATAATTTATTCAGCAAACATTCTGTGGTCATAATTATGTCTCAGCTGAAAGACCGTAGGTTCACAAAAGTGGTCTGGGGATCACTTTGTTCTTCCACATCTAATTTGGGTCATCTTGAGATACTAGATTTTATTTAAACTATGGAGACCCTCTACTCTCTGACTCAGTTTGGGCAGCTGCAGAGCAGTTCTGCCATTTCTGGATACTTCACAAAAACTTTGGCCATTGTTACCATTTGTCCTTCCTTCTCTTTGTCACAGCTACTTCCAGGCTAAGTAGACAATTGTGTTGCTTTTCTCTCTGTGAAATGGTGCATCTCACAGTAGAGTGGAATACTGTTCTGTGAATAGTGGGATTAGTAAATCTGTGGTTTTTGGTGGCTTTCTCCTTCATAAATTGTGTGATAGCTGTCTTGCACTGCAGCTTTTCTGCCAGGGAAGGCACAGATGGGGCCTCTCTCTGCTGTTAGCCGTGATGTAGTCAGAGTTATTTTGACTTAAATGTATGGCCTTTGGGCTCTGATGTGAGTTCTGGCATGAGGACACCTGGGGCTTTCAGCAGCCATGATCTCACACCATGGCACGGTGTGGGAGTTAAATGATCTTTAAGGTCCCTTCCAACACTTCCACCTCTGATATCTGATGTCCTTTGTGCCAGTGGTGCTGGTCTGAGTTGTCAGCAAATCTGGATTAAGGACCTCAGGACTTTAAGGCTTAGGTCCCTGCAAAAGGCCAGGTGGTTACTGGGGAACTCTTTATTGCTTGGATGGCTCTTAGCTCTGATGTTACCCAACATTGCTTCTTCCTTAGGTACCACGATGATTTTGGTCCTTTGCTGGAAGGATGCAGCTGTTACTGCTGCCAGAGGCACACTCGTGCCTACATCCATCACCTCCTGGTGACCAACGAGCTGCTGGCCGGTGTCCTGCTCATGATGCACAACTTCCAGCACTACTTTGGTTTCTTCAGTGCCATTCGGGATGCCTTGAGGGACAGCAAACTGGACCTTGTCAAGGAGCTTGTCTTCAGGCAGGCGCTGCAAGGCCCGGCAAGTGCCACGCTGGGACAGTGAGCTCAGAGAGGAGAGAGGAGGCTGCAGGCTGCATCCTCATCCAGTGGCACTCTGTCACCTGGATGTGTCAGTAGTAAAATGCCTTTAAAATGCTTTTTTTTCCTTCCTGAAGGGACCTGAATGAGATGTTTGAAGGAGATCTCACTTCCTGGTGGGGAAGGATGATCTTGTTCAAGCTCCTCTTCTGGTTAATTGGCTTGGTGCATTCTTGGTGGCTGGAAGAGCCTGGACAGTTCACCAGTAAGACCAGTATGGATGGGTTTGTTTTCAGATACTCACTGTTGGTTTCCCATGTGCATGGACAGAGTAATTTAACTTGTGATTGAGGATAAAGCAGGGCATATACTTAAAATTAATCCAGCTGCCTGGAGACTCAGCAGTTGCTTGGGACTCTTGTTCCATACCCAACAGTAATTATTTTTCTAGAAAAACCTAGTGGTGTCCTAGTCTCTCATGTATCATGTATCCCCTTAGTAAGAAGTCACATCTCAGTCTTAACATACTGTCCTTGTAGCCATTGCCAGCGTCTGTGTCCTTGGAAAGAACTGACTGGAAGTGCTGCTGTGTCCAGTGGCACAAGGGACTGTGTGTGTACTCCTCTCTCAGGCCACCTGCAGTGCAGTGTTCTCTGGGCCTGGAGGAAGTCTGCCACCTCGGCCTGGCCTTAAACACCCCTGCCTCAGGGGTCCCATTCAGTGACTTTAGAGCCAGAGAGAAAAGAAAGTGTTTAATCCATCTCCTGCTGTAGGGCTTTTTTTTTCAACTCTGTGCACTTTTTTCTGTGCACTTTTTCAGATTTCACTCCCATGTTAGCACATGGGTGACAATGTCTGTACCATTCTTTCCAGCCACCCTAGTACTGGTCACAGAGCAGGCTACACAAATGTCACTGTGAGATGGGCTGTCATAGGAAAGGACTTTTAGAAGACATTCTGGTGGGTCCTTGTTTTAGAATATGACTTAGTTATGTTACATTCCTCTTATTCATTTGGGTTTTTTTACTGCCCCTTACTGTGGAATCACGGATTTAATAGTTTTATATTTCACAGCAACAATAAAATACATTTATTATTTGTTACATTGGCTCCTCAATGTGTGACAGAGGTGGTGTACCAGACAGTTTGAACTCAAGAAGATATCTCCTGAAAACTTGACCTAGCAGCCTGTCATGGATACTCCTAGATAATGTCCTCCATCAGGAGGACATTTGGACTTGTCCAAAATCCAAGTAATTTGCTTCAGAAGAATATCATAATAGACTTGGAAGTGTTGAAGACAGCTGCCTGTCGTTTTCCCCATAAGGACTCTACTACCTTATTAAGCTTGAAAAAAAATACTACACTTCATGGCCTTAAAGCCATTAAGAATTAATCTGTAGTTTGCTCTTCACAATTTGTGCAATACTTTAAGATTTTAATACCTCCCATCAGAATGACTTTACCGTAGAGTATAAGGGGTTTTTAGTTTCCCTGTCTCTTTGGGCAGGTACACAAAGTTGTCATAGTTCTTTTAACCATTCCAGCCTTACTCACTCTGTTGCACTAACTACACTTCTGTTCCACAGGATCCTAAAGAAATGGTGCAAATACTGCTCTGCCATTGTCTTCAGACAGATTACAGAGAATGATTCAGCCACAGAAGTGACATAAAATACAGAATTGTCGTCCTCCCTCCAAGTAGTACTTTGTGGTTGTTAAAATTGATGCAGCACTGGGAAACTTGGAGATGGTGTCCTGGGTATACAGCATGAGGTAGAAGGTCTGCCTAACTTAAAGGGCAAGAATTCTAATGAAACAAAAATGGGTTTGTTCCTTTCAAGAGGAATGCAGTGGTAGTGCATGAGACCTTGCATTGCTTGTTTCCACAGTGCCTGTTTCTACAATGTTGCAAGTGCCTGTGCAGAATCTTTTGGGAGGGGACAGGTTTTGAAATTTCTCATTCACTAACACTCCTGAATCCACATATTGAATCACCGAAATGCTTGAGTCAGCCCAGCACTTGGGCACCACGATGGTTGTGACCAACAGGTCAGTCATGGATGCTCTGTGATGACACACAGGACAAGGGGTGCAGGTGGTTGTGTCTACTCACATTTCCTGCATGCTTTTTAGGTTGGTAACCTTACTGCTAGTTTTGGAATTGCTGTTTTATACCTTTTGGGGGCTACTTGTGATCACTCAGTCTCCCCGTCCTGCCCCACCTCTGTGAATCATTTGGATTTATTAATTTTTCTTTATCTTCCAGCCTGGATGTCTTCAGGAGATAAACATAGCTGTACTGGGATCTTGGTGGCCTGCTAAGCTAAGTGCCAGTAACATGCTATTCTCAATAAACCTTCTCCTCTTCTGGCTTTCCAGTCCTTCCATACTGCTGTGTTACGGTTTTTTTCCAGTCCTACCCATTAGGCTTTCCTGTTACAGTTCTCTGGTTAACTTTTATGTGTGTGCACCTGTGTACCACAGCTGCACAAAGGAAACCATTTTATACTGGGCAGAATTTGACCAGCTACATCATTCAGTATCTAACAAACACAAACATCACTGACCCTGAAACCATCTTAAAGTGTTGTATTTATACAACTTCTCAACTTATCAGTCCTCTTAGTTCACACTGTAGAAAATCAACAACATTTTACATGCTAACTTAGAAAGTTTTTAAATTTATTTCCAGGCAGAGATATAATTTCTTTCAAAAACAGAATTCTTGCCCTAATATGGGGATGAAAACTGCATGAAGAAAACTAAACTTTCCATGGAGAAGTGAAAATTGAAATTAAGAAGGAGTGTAAAAATGTCTGTGCTAAATTAACTTCACTAAGCACAGAAGACTGCAAAGACATCCTTGACTACCATCCATCCCCAAAGGGCAGAATATAAAAGACCAAAGCAGAATACAAAAGAGATGGTGTGCTACAAAAACATTAGACCCATGAATATCATTTCCTTAGCAACCTTTAGTGTAATCTTCCCCTTAATAAAGAAGAACCTTTCACGCTGATGAGAATAACTGTCAGGGCCTCATGTTAAGGCCTGTGTCTTTCTGACCACTTCATCAGTATTCTGCTCAGTAACTTCCTTCTTCCAGAGCTATTTTAATGTTGCAGACTCTTCAGCAGTTTCAAAGGTATTCTTTGAAGTGTATAAAGGAAAAATAATCAAATTGTCTTACTACAAAAAAGTCTTCTTTCCTTCAGGATTGTAATCCCCCCCCTCACTGTTTATCCACTCCATCCTATAAATCAGTGGGACAGTGTCCAAGACACACACAGTGTATATCCAGCCTTCTCTGACAGTTTCTAGGTCTGCTCCTCTGTGGCTCTGCAGGATCACAGGAGCTGCCCAAGACTGGAAATGTTCCAGCAGGGTGTTCAATTTATTTCTACATCTATAAGGTCCAGCGGGTTTTCAGATCATGGGATTTTTATGCATAGAAAATTTAGTTCCAGGTGTGTTTCAGAGGTGCTTTTAAGTATTGAGTAGCTTTTATTCAACCCAAACCCTGTTGGTTTTTGATTCACAACATGAGGTGGCCGACAAAGGGCTCTAATAAAATGTTTAAACTGTTCTCTCAGTAATGTCAGAGCTGTTTCCTCTGTGATGTGGAAGGCATGCATGAAACAGATGATGGTGCAGGCCAGTTTAATGGTTCTATTTGTAGTACTCTGGAGTGATCTACATAATTTGCTAGGGACCGCATCTCTTTTCTGGTAATGCAGCACTCCTTTGGACTATTGAAGATGTTCAAGCACATTGCAATCCTTTCTTATGAAAGATGTTCAAGCACATTGCCATCCTTTCTTATGCACATTCCTTAGGCATGATAGGACTTTTCAAACAAAAAGAGAATGAATTTAAATCCCTTTGAGAAGTTGGATCTAGACTGGTAAAGTTGGTGCTGGCACAAAAATGGTGCAGCAAAATGTTCTTGCTTCCCTGTTGATGTTGCCAATGTGAATGGTGTCTGTCACATTACACATTCTCCTCCCTGGGAACATATTGACTTGGAAAAGCAGCACCTTTCCTGCCTCACAATGAGGTGATGATGAAGTGCTGGTTAAGTCTACATCTGTCGTCTGTATGTTTCAATTACATTGGACATGTGAAGGTGCAACACAGTGGGATGCTCTGTCATGCTGGCACAGCTCCTCCAGCTCCTGGCCTTGCTTACTGCCCATCATTACAAAATCTTCAGAGAAAGCCTGGTCTGTTCTCAGCTATTTTTGTGTCTGAACATCTTGCAGAGCTCTTTGGGAAGCAGTTTTGGATGAGAAGGGGTTATGTGGTTAACCAGGATTATTTCAAGCTTCTGAAGCCTGAAAATCTAGGAATCTGTTTAGTGAGGACCAGAGGTAAAGGAATTATAATAAAGGCATTTGGATCTGCCAGACAGCTCAGGATTAACCAGCCTTCTCTCTTCCCTATGCTTCTGCTACTGTGTGAAGCATTTTCTGGCTCAAGGGAGTGGCCAATGCGCTGGGAGAAGCAATGGCAGTGGTTCATGCCAGAGGCTCTGCAGGACAAGGTGTATCTTACTGCCCATACGTGCAGAGTTGACTGATTTGCAGGATGCTGATCGAGAAAAGACCTAAAAACTATGGCCCTTATATGTAATGGCCCAGCACAGACTTTCACAAAGAAAGGAGGTCCCATGGTCCTTTGGCCAGAGTTCCTGGAGCCATTCCTGTGCTCTATGTGTGACACCTTGTGCTCTTGAGCTGGCTGCCTTCCTGAGCTGGTGGATGTGTTGCAATGCGTGACACGAAGGTGGCTGTGCAGCAATGCTTTGTGCTCACTGCTCCCTCCTTCCACAGGAGAACATCTGGTTTGCCTTTTGATGAGGTAATCAGGGGAGGTATTGATGCAGCCAGCATCTTGCAGGAAGTCAGCAGAGTCTATGAATCTGTCTTGAGCTTTTTTGTACTGCCCTTCCTGGGCCAGAATGGAACCATCTACAAAGTAATGTCAACTTCAGTGGTACTATGTGCTGAAAAACAGCTGAAGAAACCAGCCCTTAGGAAAGCCAGATGCTTTCCTCAGACAAAGCTGAGGGAACTGGGATGAGAGAACAGACTGGCAGGAAGCCAAAGCCTTTAAAGAGATGCAGCCTCTTCAAGAAAGGGAACAGGAGATTGAGCGTCTGGGAGGAAGGAACATAGGCAAACAGGATGATTAGGATTTGGCAAGGCCAGCAAAAAAAAGGAGTGGGAGCTGTGCAGTATGTCCATGGGTAGCACTGCCAACATCAAGTTGCAGAAGCCACTGGCTCGTGCCTTTTTCCATCCCTTGTTTTGTATGCACTGTGAGGAGGAAGAAGCGCTCTGTTGTGGTTCAGGGAAGTCAGCAATGGCTGCAAAACGGCAAAAGGCCACAGAGTAATGCTGGTAGCCTTCAGAGCTGAGGATGGACTCAACTCTGGTACCTGGCTCCCCTGTTGCCCACAGCCAGTGCCATCACAAATACTTAAGGGAGTCCTGCAGCATCAACCATTTGCTCACATCCCTTGACCTCACCCCCACAGGGAGACAGAAGTGCTGCTGCATCTCACCTACTGTAGAGCATGGTGAGCAGTCCACCTGCACCACAGCTCTTCTGCCACGACATAGGATGGCAGAAAGAAATGTGATTCCCTCAGTATTTTTGCTTCTGTCCGGTGAAAAGTGGGCTTTATTTGGGCTGTTCAATTTGCCATGCTCACAGCTGTGCAGTAAAACTTATTAAAACTGACAGGAGTCCCCAGAGCAGGAAGCCAGAAAGGTCTTCCCCACACCAAAGATACAACAAGCCTGATGCTTGTCTCACTGAGATGCTTAAATCATTATACTGAAATTAATTTTTAATTATGTTAATTTTCTTCTTTGGCCCCAGGGGTTTTCTTTGCCTCACATTTCCAGAGGCATTCAGGGATGGGACCAGTGTCTGGCAGGAAGAGATTCACTCCCAGAGTCACGAAGGAAGCTCAGGATAATTCCTGGCCTGGGCCTTGGAGAAAATGTATCCCTGTTGAAGAAAGGTGTGGTTGGCATCAGAGCTGGGGGGCTCCTGATTTGACACTTGAGACAGGAAGGAACCAAGGAAAGGTGGCATGAGTGTTGCCAGGAAGGCATAACAAGAAAGGTCACTGCTATGTCTTAAGATTGGCTATTTGGGGAGGAACAGAGAATAACTGGATCAGTGGCTTTTGAGATTGAAAGGCAGCATTGGTCTGGGATGCATCTTCTACATCCTGTTCAATGTCATTCAGAAAGAGGTACCTAGCAGCTGATGCTGACTTTGAAGAAGTACAGTTTTGAATCCCTCACACCTTGAAATTATTATAGTCTTGTGAGCCTTCCTTTGCTCATAAGGCAGAAGGTCAGGTGGCAAAATACTGCCAGGAGATGACATTGTTATGTTAATATGAATTCATTATTATCATTAGATAAGGAAAAACTCACTTCAGTGGCTCATTCAAAGGCTCATGCAGATTTGGGATACTTGCATTGGTCAGAGAAAGAACTGATGAGCCCATTCTTGCTAGATGAGACTCCTCACAGCCAGGTGTATTTGCAGGTGTATTTGACAGCCAGGGTCTGCCACTTTGTGACCAAATCATCACACACTTAGCTGAAACTAATCAGATTGCTACTGCTGTCCTCTGGCTTGTCCTCAATTCCTATTTGTAGTTTTCTGAGTGTCACCATATCAGCTGCCTGCAGGCTGTTGATCCTTCCTTGAAATGCTGGCAATGATTAGATATTCTTAGGAAAACATCAGCAACAGCAATAAGCTGCAGACAAGCTCTGTCTTCCAGGGGAGCTGCCATCCTGAGCAGGTTGTGCTGGCCCCAGCTGGCACTCCAATCCCCCTCAGAGAGGCAGCCTCCAGGTGCACTCCCTTCTCTTCCCAAGGGGGAAGCTCCCTGTGCTTAGCCCCCACAGTGGGGTCCAGCTGAGTATCTGGCCAGGCCAGCCCAGCCCCTAAGAGACCTAAGGAGGGTTACCTGGAGAAATGAGATTTATCTGCAAGGCTTTGCTTTGTCCTTGTAGTCTGGCAAATGTGGATTTTAATATCTGAAGCTGGGACTGTTAAAACAACATGTCCAACAGCTGCTGCAAGGTACCTGCAGAATACTCACTGAGCAGAGTCACCTGCAGAGCAATGGTCTTTGATGGCGGGTGAAACCCACCTCCTCCATAAATTCCTTGCCTTTCTAGGCATCATCTTTTTTTTCTTACGGAAGATTGCTTTATCTTCTGCCCCATGGCCCTTTGTGCTCTTCTGCTTAAAGATTCTTGCATGATCTGGTGCCTGTTGTGCCTCTGACAAGGTAGAGTGCTTTATGGTTTCTTCTCTGTTTGTAATTTACAGTGTAAAACTCAACATAAGAGCTTTTGGTTTTAACTCTGGATGGCTTCAGTTCAGTGTCTGGTACCATTTAGGATTTTAGTAACTTTGGTAACCTGTGTTTTTGGTTGTAGACCTGAAGTTTAACATGTGCAACATGTGGCACATCTGTCACAAATGGGGAGCCCCAGGTACTTGTGGAATAGCAAACTGTGGGATATGTGGGCTCAGTGGCTCATTCATCTGGGTTCCTGCAGCTGAGCTATAGCCCGTGGCTCTGTGAGCTGGGAGATGGTGGATCAGGGGATAAATGATGTTTTTCAGTCTGTTTCTCAGGCGTGCTGTAAATGTGTCTAGACAGGCAGCACTTGGATGGATGCCTTGTACCTTGTGGGGAGGTGGGGCTGATCTTCCCAGTGTGTGCTGCCAGCTCTCCTTCATCTCCAAAGGGTCTTAACTCTCCTCAGCCATGGTGGAGCTGCTTCCTGGCTGCTCTCTCCTTTACAAATGTCTTCCAGCACAGGGCACCTGAGGTGCCCCATTGCAGCTGCCTGGTGGGGCAGGGTGGAGGTGAGCACACGCTGCAGGGCCCCCCTGCTGCACACCTGCCCAGCCCTGCTGCCACAGCAACCTGTGGCTGCCTCCGAGCTCCCTTCTCCTCTCTGCAGGACAGGAGGTTTCTGCATTATCTGAAGGCTCTTCTAATGTGAATATCAGCACGTAAATGAGTCCCTGCAGAACACAGAGCACAGCGTCACAGCTCACCTCTCCCAGCCAGCTGTGGAGTCAGGGAAAACAAAACACCAAGGAGGAAAATGTAGAAAATTAAGGTTAGTAGGAGATATTGAGCAGTTGGAAAAGGAGAATGCAGATTACTCTGCTGTAAATAATGAGAGGGGGTGTGTCTTGGGGGGCCCTCATCAATCTCTCTGGTTTGCTGGAGAGGCATCAACTGCACGTGCCTTTAATTGCTTCTGTTCCTTGGCATTTTCTATGGGATTACCTATGTCTGTATTGACAGAGGAAAACTGGGCATGGTACTCAAGCAGCACTTGAGGGAGGAGGAGACAGAGATTGTTTTGGTTCCGAGTTGAGTTTTGTGGCTTTTTTTTTTTTTTTTTTTTTTTTTTTTTGGTTTTTTTTTTTTTTTTTTTTTTTTTTGGTGTTTTTTGTTCCTAGTTAGTTCTATGATCTGGTAGTTCAGGTCTCAGTAAAGAGAGGACCATATGTTTAGATACAGAATTTTCCCCATCCCTTATAGCTGTGTGGACACCAAAATGCTGCTTAGTTTTCTGCCACACCTCCTGTTCTTACCTCTATCCTGAATCATCTTGGGGATCACTCCTTGAATAACTGGTTCAAATACAAGATCAAACTGACCCCTGAGAGATGCTAGGCCAGGTCTTGAAATGGACCTAATCATCCTTTAAAAGATCTTTCTTTTAATTTTCTCCTTTCTGACAATTGTTATATAAAGCAACTGGACGGTGATCTCTGTTATGAAGCATCTTAATGAGAATTACTTGAGTGGCAATCTGTCCACAGGCTGGTTCTCTCGATTTATTCCTCCCCCATCCTGTGTGCTGAGTGCCTCCCATGCTATCCATTGTCTTTGAGCAGATGGAGTAACACTACTGCCTGTCTGCCTGGTGTAGCTGAGAAACTAACTGACTGTATTTCCAGAATTCATCTGCTGGAAGTGCTTACAGCAGCCTTTGATTTCTTTTCCAGTTGCAAGGAAAATGCAAGTAATAATAAAGACTTCTTACGGGTGTCCAGGTGGATGATAATTTTTAACAGGGAAAGTGTTAAGAGGGCTACAGATGACAAAAGGCTTATGGAAGGAGGTACATTAATCACAAAGATACCAAAACTTCCAATTACACTTGTGTTTTATTGGGTTAAGGCAGTCACAATGCAGTATGGAGGGCACCTGCCCAGGCAAATGACACACGCTCTCCACAAGATCCTCCTCCTAAAACCCAGACAAACCAAAGCAGCAGCTAGAGCTCTGCTATGTGCTCTGGAGGCAGAGAACAATGGCTTTGGCTTCATGTTAGGAAGAAAAGGAAGCCCTTCCCAGATGGAGAAGCTGTGGCATGGACACAGGCAGGAGCAGCACACAGAGTTATGCCCAAAGCTAAAAAACGAGCATGGCTGACAGCACAACTAAGCCAAGTCCTGGGAGTGAGAGCTGAAGCATCTGATCCAGTACAGCAAGGGGGCAAAATGGGAGAACCAAGTTGAGGCTCTCTGGCCCATGCCAGGTTTGTCTGTATGAGGGGAAGAGCATTAGAGTGCCATGACATGACACCAGCTTATGGTACATCAGGACCTGTCTGTTTTTTCCATCCAGGAACTACTGGAGATGGCTTTGTAGAATACTGCTAGGAAAGGAGACCATGGCCAGGCTGTATTTGGCCAGCTCCTGGATGCTCTGGGGTATACAGATGCCCTATGATGATAAGAGTATTGGCAAGAGGCATCAGGGAGAGTCCTGGGGCTGATCCCAAGGCAAATGTCCCCTCTTACTGTGAGGAATGTTATGAAACAGCTCTCCCCCAGGTATGGGCTGTAACTGGAGTTATTCCAGCAGCCAGGTGGTACAAACCCTAAATCTAGCAGTGCTCCTGTCAGGAGACGAGCACAGCTAAAGATTGGTTCCAAGGAGATCGTGAACAAGTTTTGAGACAGGGTGCATGCAACCAGCTGAAAAAACAGGTTTGAATCTATGGCAGCTATCAAGAGCCGTGTTCTCTTGGTGGCCCCAGTAGATCACTGTGCTGTGTGGTAGTTAAGTAGTGGCCAATCTATCTCTGGTCCTTGGGTCAGGAGGAGATGGGACTCTGGGGTAGTGTTGCACTTGTCATGTGAGCTGACCTACCAGAGGGAGAGCAGCCACCTTGCAAGGAGCAGTAAAATACAAGCTGGCAGCACAAGGGAAGATTTCATTTGCAACTAGGGCGATTTTCTCAAGCACTTAGACTGACCCAGTTTTACAGGCAAACCTTTTGATGGAAACAACAGGAAAGTTGTTATTTCTCCATCAGTGCTCCTCTTCTAAGTTTCCTTATCCAATCTTCACTCTTGGCTCCTGACTGAAGAAATCAGGATCCTTATCAAAGAAGTCCTGTCCTCTTACTAGGACTGCTGTGCATGAGCTGGGTGCCTTCTGCAGGCTGAGGTTCCAGCTGTGGGAGGGCAAATGCATTTCCAGCATGCAGGCAGCAGAGTTGAGGGATGCCATCTGCGTTTGGATCGCGTGTGCCCTGCAAGCCTGTCAGCTCCCAAGAGCGATGCACTGTGGATGTGCTGCACACCCAGGGCTGTGCCCAGCACTGAGGGACTCACTGGCTTGTCCCTGGCTTTTTCTCCTCCCAGGGGGCTGCTGCAGACCTGTGCAGCCCGGTGTGGCCCCACAGTCAGCAGCAGAGGATCTTGAGGAAGGCTTTGCGGAAGTCAGTGTTGAAGGTTGTGTAGATGATGGGGTTGAGGGCACTGTTGACATATCCGAGCCAGGTGCTAGCACTGTAAAGCCCTGGAGGCACATGGCAGGATGGGCAGTGGGCATTGAGGATGTGAATCAAGAAGAAGGGCAGCCAGCAGACTATGAATGCCCCTGGGTTTAGAGAGAGGCAGAAAACAATCCATGAGTTTAGAGCAGCAACTGTTTGGAAAGGGGCCTGCACTGGTGACCTCTCCCTCCAGCCCCTTAATATTTCCATGAGGTTTCTGTATTTCACAAACACTGAAGGCCATGTTTATTCCTGACACAGAGGGATTTGGCAAAAGCTTGGGCTCCTTGGGACCAGCTTTGTGAATGTATGGGGCTTCAGAAGTGGTCTGATGACAGACAAAAGCAAGTGGCCACAACTTTGAGGGAAAGCCTCAGCCGCTTTAATCAGTTAGGATTAGGGCTGCTTTATTTCCATGCTACTACTGAATTAATGGGTGGAACAGTGCATCTGGTGACCGCAGCAGGTGACAGGGACACCAGTCTCCTGGCTTCTCTACCCAGCTGTATGAACTGGTTCCTCTGCAGCTCCTTGCCTCAGTTTCCACTTCTGTAATCAGATCTAAGAGCTTCTGCATGTATGGAAACTTAGGATTGTTCCAGCCTTGTAATAGTAAAACAAAGGAAAAGGAAAGGTATTGGCTGTTGCTCCCTCTAGTAAGGCTTGTTGGCCACTGATTTTAAACACAAGGGTAACAAAACACAATAAATAAAATACTAATATATGTGGGTCTCAACATTTGGAAGCATTATTTTAGATCCCTAAATGTCCCACTACTGTCTCTCCTGAGTTTGTGAAGCATAACAGCTGAAGCCAAGGCCCAGCTTGCATTTTTAAAAATCTCAATATTGTATTAGGAGATTCTGTGCTCCTGGAAGTCCCAAACCATCACCCCTTGCACCCCACAGGCAGAATGGCTCTCACTCACCCAGGACAATTGCCAGCATCTGTGTAGCCTTCCTTTCCCGCAGCTGGATCAGTCGGGGCTGCTGCTGGGCCAGCCTCAAGCTGCTGATGGTTCTACCATTGCTGAGCCTCCGTACCTCCACTGCTGGCTTCGTGCTCCTCCTCTCTTCCCACCTGCTGGTTTGGGTAGTCCCTGGTGCCTTGGTGAGGGATGCCTCGTGGCAGAAGCTTCGGTACCGCTGCAGGCTGAAGACAGTCAGCAACCTCCTCTTCGTAGACATCTCCTGGCCTGTGCATTTGAGTGGGAGACAGGGGGAAAATGTGCCTTGGCATCTGTTTGGCAAAGCTTTCCTCTCCATGTGTTCCTGCAAAAGATGATGCCACAGAAGATCTGGAAACCATCCAAACTGCTCATTGGGCCAGAGGATGATGAGGGAAGTTGTAAGAGTTATCCATAGCCTCACTTGCCTCTTACATTGCACCCACGTCCTCTGCACTGACCTGGGGGTTAACCAGCAGTTGACAACACTTTGCCTCCATCCCACCAAGGAGAAGCATGGGAAGAGTAAGAGCAGGAATACCTGCTCTGCTAACCTCTCATCTGTATTTTCATGTTGGCCCTGCTCCCCTCAGCATCCCCACCCTTTCAATGTAGCTTCACTGTGCAAAGATAGGTAAAAGGAGTGGATATGCACGATCAGGTAATTCCTTTCAAACTGTTGTGTTGGTTCCCATGGTTGCAGGTATTTCATCTAGAAAGGTCAGTGGAACAAATGTTGCATGCACCATGAGTATTTTGACCTCTTAAGTCTGTCAGATGAAGAGGGGTTTTATATTTTAATAACAGATGTTAAAACCTGTGAAGCCCTGAGAGTGAAGCTTCATAGAGCAAAAATCAATAAATGAAGACATAAAAATCAATAAATGAAGAAATTATGCAAAAAATGAAGACTTATGCATGGCTGAGAAAACCCTGCTCTGAAGAAATACTGAAGAAGGCTGTGCTCTTTTCTGCTTGCCACTTCTAGTGGGCAAAGATACACAGGGAATATAATCTTTCTAGAGGTCTGGAAAGGATTTAACTGGAGCTTCTGCGCCTCAGATATCATGGTGTATGAGCGAGGGATGGGATGAAAACATGTCATGTCCCTCCTTATGCTTTCTGTTCTGCGTTTTAACCCTTTGAGAAGAAGAGACGATGCATTCCTCTCCTTTTTGACAGCTCCTGCTGGGTTCATGTGGCTCTTACTTGGTGCGCATAACACGGTTTGGTGCTGGCGCTCTGGCTGCCCTGCCGGGTGAGGGTTCGCTTCTTTTGCCTCTGTCTGAGCACGAGGTAAATCCGGACATAGAGCAGCAGGGTCACCAGGAAGGGGAGGTAGAAGGACACCAAAGAGGAGTAGATGACGAAATTAGGGTTGGATATGGAACAGACACTGGGATCTCCTGGGGAGGAGAAGAGAGAGAGAGAGAGAGGAGTGGCTGAACTGATTTGGTTTAGTACAAGGAGGATCTGGTGTGTTGGCAAAGCGAGACAAAAGGTGGCTGGGGGCAAAGGCAGTCTAAGGAGTGCAGATTATGCTCTGGCTAACCCAATTACCTAAGTGATGCCTAAAATGAACCCAACACAGGGCGATCTAGCAGTAGCCAGCACGCATCTGCCTGCTTTTCTGGCCGACAGCTCTGCTCTCTCCTCTCATGTCTATTGCCATCCTTTCTCTTACACCTTTCACAGCCTCTGAGCTGTCTAGATGGAGAGTGTGCATCCACCCCTGTCTGAACCAGGCAAAAGGGGGCAGCAGAATTTCCCACTCCCATCCCTTTCCTGTCTCAAGCACTGCAGAGAGGACAGATGGGGAACAGAGGCTTCTGTTTGTGACCCAGTGAGAAGGAAGCCTCCCCTCCTACTCTACCTCCAGGGACACCGTGTTGCCCTAGCTGAGGGAAAGGAAAAAGACCAACCTGCTTCCAAGGTGGAGGCTAAATTGTTTGCCCTCCTCAAGGGATTAGTTAAGGAAGCAGACAGCCAGGTGGATAGGGAGGAGGTCTCTAACAAGCAATGCTAGTATGCAGTCCTTGATGTTTAGAAATGTGTTCTGTATCAGAGTCAAAACTGTGCTTCTGAACCCGTTGATATCGGCAAGATGCTGTTAAGTCTGGTGTGTGTGTGTGTGCTGTATGTACTGCACGTTTTGCTCTGTGTGCTCAAAGTGATTGTTTGATGGGATTCTGAAGACCTGGACACCCTGATGGACATTGATTTGGCAGTAGAGCAGGCAGGTTTGCCCTTTAGAGCGATAGTCAGTGTCTGCCTGAGCAAATGGCAAGTTTATAGACAAGAGCACATGGGGATTTTTCTCTCCCTTCATGGTGTGCTTTCCAGTTCCTTAAAATTTCCTGTAACTTGGCAAATCTGCAGGACCCATGTTAAATGACCTGGCCATACACAGGGCAGCTCCACTGTCAACCCCTGCTGTGTGCTATTGTTCAGGATATCACCTACCTGTAGTATTGAAGCCAAAGAGGAGAGGGCATGACACTGCAAATGCCAGCATCCAGACTATCACAATCATGAGAGAGACCCTCCTGCAGGAGCTCTGCCCAGTGCTGTACTGGTACTGAACTGGTTTCACCACTGCGGTGTATCTGCAGACCAAACCAGCTCCAGGAAGAGGAGAAGGAGGGAGGGAAAGGACCAGGTTTTTAAAGGGAGAAGTGAAAGCAGCACAGGGAACATGATGGTGAATGTGGTGAAGAAATAGAAGAGGAAAGTAGAGAAAATCAGATGATGGAATCAGCAATTTGTAGAAATGGTAAGTGAGGCATTGGGGGGAGGAACAGAGGAAATCAGAGTTAGTTGGCATCAGTGCAGAGAAATACTCAGCAGAACTCACAGCATGCCAAGCTACAAGGTTTGGGCTACCAGATGGATCAAGAAACCCGAGGAAATCCCTAACTCCCAAGCCCCTAGAGTTACACGAGCACTGCTGTGAAAGAGCACTCTCTGGAGTAACCACAAACTACTAAACTCTGTCTCAGCTGCCTGGTCTGGTGTTAGCCTGACAGGCAGAGGGTTGCCCGGGGGCAGGTTGCCAAGGACCTTCAGTTGCTGGGGTGCTCCAGGAGATGCAGCTCAGCAGAGCAAGAATTTGGAAGGCACAGGAGTTTCATCTTTAGGAGAGCCTGGGGGCTGCATCTTGCAGACAGAGCCAAACTGAAATGGGGATACAGATTCCCACGGAGGAACACCGGACTAAAGCAGCACTGAGAGCTGCCTTGCATTATTATCCTTGAACTACACATTACAAAGGTATAGCATGCAGTATTTTTCCCTTCTCTCATTACTTGGTCCCAGTAGGATCACATGTGCCAAGGTTTTGGCTCCCAGCCCTCAGCATTGCTTAAAATAGGCTCAGTTTTAAAATGCAGAAAAACAGAGCAAAGCTCAAGATTACACTGCAATAATCTTCATCTCTCTCTGTAAATATGGCAGGATTTTGTTTATTAAAGCTTCATGAGTGAGATCTCCAAAAGGAGAAACCCTCTTTCACACTCAGTGTGAGTTGGATGAGCAATTGTGGTTCCTGCCTTTAAAAAGCTTGAGGATGTGGTTGACTGTCTACTGGGGAAGTTTTATTGCTTGTGTCTCCCTGCCCTCCAGTGCAGACCTCTTCTCGCACAATGTGAGCAGAGCCACAGTAACAGCAGTAGTGGCAGGGACAGACCTTCAGGGGTTTGTTGTCCTGAGAACACTGATGCTGTCTGTGCTCACTCCACTTCTTTGTCCCTGCCCCACTGCGGCACAGGGCCGACCCCCATAACCAGGCTGTCCCCCTGGATGCTGCTGTGTCTCACCTGTCAATGCTGATGGCACAGAGGTTCAGAATGCTGGCTGTGCACATCATTACATCCATGGTGACGAAGATATCGCAACAGATACGGCTGAACGTCCAGACCCCTCCGGTCACCTGCACCAGTGACACAAAACTGTCAGCCTTGCTCTGCACCAGCTCCTGACAAGTTATGTGTGAGGAGCTGCTCTCCTCCAAGTATCTCAGCAGCTGGAGGAGCTCCGCAGTGATGGGCAGAGGGAAAGTGAGGCACCTGTGTTGTGTGCAAGACAACACAGCAGTAGGTCGTGGAGAAGGAGCCTCACTTTAATTTCAATCCTTTATGTGCTCTTGCAGAGGGAGGCAGGGAGAATAAACAGCAGCTATCCCTTCTCTCAAGGCCTAGCCTTGAGAAATGAAAAAATTATTTAAATTTGATATCACTGTATTTATCCTTTGATTAATGATTATCTGAGAAAATCTAAGGGCTGAAAGTCTTTCTCAACTTAGCTGCCTGAGTGCTCTTGCAAGGCACCGAGCTGGAAAAGTACTGCAAATTTTTTGCATTTATGTATGAAACTGAGATCTGAGACTGAGGCTTCTAAAAAACCTTACTTGAATTCTTACCTCAGTTACAGATTTTGACTATTAGATCTGAGTGAGAACTCACAGGCTACTCAGATAAAGGGGCTTGAGTTGCTACCAAGCTGTTCTGGTTGTTTTGAATTTTTAATCTGAAGTGTGTGGTTGTGAAAGCTCAGCCACAGCCAGTCTTAGTGATGGAGAAAAGTGGGTTTTGGAGCAGGCACCAAGTTCTTGACAACGACCTTTTTGATTGACAAGCGTGTTCCAAGCACTGTGTGGCCCTGCTGTCTTTGGGGTTGGGATGACAGCCTGATTCCGAGGGAGGTGGTCTGCCTCTGTGCCCACTCCTTGTAGGAGATGGAGGGCAGGCTGCCTCCTTGTTCAGCTGCAAACAAACCCAGTCCTGTGCTGAATGGGAGAGCAGGAGAGAAAAATGAGGGAAAGTCCATGCTTGGGAGAGAGCCTGGATTTTAGCCTTCAGCCCTGTAGATCCTGCTGTTTCAGCTGGCTGCTGGGAAGTGATCAGAAACTGCCACTATTTTCTGGTCTCTCTGCTCTTATTTAGACAACATCTGGAATACTGCACCTGGTTTTGAGACATCAGTAGAGGAAAAACATTGATAAACAGGAGTGAGTCCAGTGGAGAGCAACCAAAACAATTCCCAGGGGCTGGGGCAGCTGTGAGCACCAGCTAAGGGAGCAGGACTTCTTCAGTCTGGAAAAGAGATGGTTTTGAGGGGTGGCAGACTAACAGCCCTCTGGTGCCTGGGAGGAGATTATTGAAAAGGTTGAAGGCAAGTTGCTAAGAAGATGGAGGTGGGTTTTTCACAGCAGTGGTGTGGTGAGAGAACAAGAGGCTACAGGAACAAGCTGGAAGAAAGGTGCAAACTGGTTATGAAGGTTACTCTTCTGACTACAGGGACAGTGGAGCCCTTGCTTGGTAAGTCTGTGCAGGATCCATCCTTGAATGGGTTTCAAAACCCATTGAAAAATACCCATCCCAGACCATACTGGAGAGGGTGCCACAAGTAAGCTTGGCTTCTCAGGCAGTGGGTCAACCCTGTGAGTGTTGGTGCCTAGGAAGGATGCAGCCCTCTGCAGAGAAAAGCACTTGTACAAATACAAAATTCACTCTGTGATAATTGTTAAGGAAATAATCCTGAGAAATGTAAATGGTTTTGATAGTGGCATGGGCACAGAAACTTGCTGAGGCGAGCTGTGTCTTTAGGGTGCTCTCTGGTGGACCCAGCTGCTACATTTCAGAAATCAGGTATTGAATGAAGCGGTCTTCCATTAGACCCTCTGACCCAGAATGAATGCAGGGGAGGGAAATGGGAATTGGCTTGCAGAATGCAGAAGGGGACTGTGCTTTCTTCTCCAGTTCTCTTGCTAATGGTGGTGCTCCTTTGTTTTCTTATAAAAAAGTAAGTAAAGGGGAAAAAGTCAAACCAAAACCATTGAGCTTTTCTACACAGTTAGGTGAGCTACAAGACATGCAGATTGAAGGCTGTCCATCTGAGATTAGGGACCTTAATAGGTAGGTTCAGCTTCCAAAGAAACACTACACTGGTTTTATTTTAGTTTCATTTTGACATCTGCTTGACCATTCCAAAATATATTAAAAAAAAATGCTGGTAGCCTTTGCAGTGGGACCCAGTAAGGGATGTTTCTGCAGTTTGAGGCAAAAAGCAATGCAGTTTCAGTGTGAGCTATGGAGTCTGAACAATATTTCACCAAGCCAGTGGCAGGTGTTCACATGAAAGCCAGCTGCTGCTAACCCAGCAGATGAACAAGCACTTAACTGAGGGAGTTTCCAAGGTCCTGAGCATGTTAAAATGCTGAGCTCAAGAATGTGAACCATTAAAACTGAAGAAGGTGCTGGTGGGGATGGCTCAGAAGTGAGCCCTCTCAGGATGATGCTATCAGATCACGCCACATGCATACTAGACTGTAGCTTGTGTAAGTGGGTGCTTGACAGATCAAAATGTTTGGGCTTAAAACCCGTTCTCACTTCCACCTGCCCCTTCTGAAATGGGGAGTAGCTCTGCTGGAGTTGGCAAAGTAGTTAGTATTTACCTGTGGGGTATATTAATCCAGAATTTATCCCAGAATTTAATAGTGAAGAAAAGCCTTTTTATTACATGCCTTGTTCAAAATTTTTAAAATTCTGTTTCTGCTCTTCCTTTTATTGCTCTGTTCTCATCATCTTTGCTACAGCAGCTAGAACCTGCTAGTCTGCATTCCTGGTTTTCATGTGCTGGCAGGGTACTTCTTCTTTATCCCTCTGGTGCTTTTTGTCCAGGAATCTCAAAGGATATCCCAGGTATTAATTGAATGAATCCTCACATCTGCCTGGGTGAGGCGGATGGTCAAATATTAATCTCTTACAGCTGATGAGAGCAAACTACAGAGAGATGAGCTGATACAATCTCTTATTACCACTCAGTGATTGTGCAGCAGAAGAGTGTCCGGGGTGAAATCCTGGCTCTTTCAAACACAGTGCTCAAGATCCCTACAGACTATTCAGGCCAGGTTTTCACCCAATCTTCCTTGACAAACAGTCTGCTTTATCTACAAAATTGTGCTGTTATGATATTTAACTTCCAAACTCTATAAGAAGCTTTCCAGTTTATGAATGCCCAATGATTATTTTTTTAAACTTATGCTTATCTACCACTCTCCTGAATTCTTAAAACAAACAACAGAATCTCCACAATTCAGCTACGAATGGTGATGCCACATTGAGGAGCACATGGATGGGAAAGTAGGAAACCAAGTTGCATCAGGCAATGGCAGGCATGAAAGTAGTGGTGCATCTAAGCAGGCTCCCTGAAGGTTTTGTGTTTGAGAGCTGATGCTTGGGGCTGCTGCTGGCTCCTGCAGCTGTGAGATGGCTGCTCATGGGTTTGCACAGTGGGAGTACAGAGAGCACTCGTGGTCAGGACTGCTGAGCTGCGGTAACTCAGCTCTGTCCTCCCTCTGACACAGTCCAGTAGAGCTCCTGGAGCACACAGAGCAGTTGAGGTCTCACTGCTCCCATGTGGGAGAGAAGATGAGGAGACAGTGTGACTCCCACACAGTCTTAGCAAATTAGACCTCAGTGACAACCTTCTCCTGAAGCTTTCTTCCCCTTTGGAGGTAGAACTGGATGTTGTGAGAAGACTGAGGAGGATGTTCCCAGCCATGCTGCCGCATGCCCTCCTCTGTCTATGCAACGACTACATGGCATGATGGTGTTTAACACCCTCAAACTCCAGTGGGCAGGATGCCCTGATGCCACTGCTTTGGAAACCTTGGTGAGCTTCAGCAGCCAGGGATCGGTAAAGAAGAGGGCAGCAGCATTGGTGTGTCAGACCTACATGTTGGCCCCAGAAGATTGCTAGACACACTGCTGAATAGCACTTCTGTGCCAGACACCTCCTTAAGAGGAGATGAGGATTTTGAGGCTGTAAAATGTTCCTGTTGCCTCTCTGTCACAGTCTTCTCAAAAGAAGAAAGAAAGTCTTCCCATTTCTCAGAAAGAGACATGGTTTGCATGATTGATAAAATAACACATTTCATGGCCATTGATGACTCTAAGAATGGAGTGTAAAGCACAAACTTCACAAGCAGCACTTAAATCTGAGGAATTCATCCACCTTAAGCTTCTCCATAAATAGGGGCCAGTTCTGAAGTCTGGTTTGGCAAACCTTCAGTAGATGAATAGGTATTCTACACGGTTTTAGGGACTGAATGACTATTTGGCGACTTCCAGGTTCATGGTGTATTGAAGCATGATGCTATTTCTGCTTCATTGATGGCATCGCTGATCCATAAACAGCAGCAAATATTGAAAAAATCTTTGGGGCTTTTTGGACTGTTTTTAGATCTTAGTCTTGCTGGAGTCCTACAGCCCAGTTCTATAGGAAGTCCTGTGCAATGCCAGGGTTGGTAGTTTGGGTCTGGGATGCATATGAGTTTTCTTTCTTGTTTGGATGACTCTTGCATCAGCTGCTTTGATTATCCAAGCTCCACAGACAGAAATTAGTCTTGAATGGGTCTACAAACACAACTAGGAAATGGACCTACTGTTGTGCTCACAAATAATGACCAAGGCATTGTATGGGGCACAGGCTGCTCCACAGATGTGCCTCAGTCCCACCCTATCCACAGCAAGAGTGAGTGCCAAGTATTTTCTAAAGCAAAGCATAATGTGATTTCATTAAGAACTGGAATGCACTTGAGCTGATAGACTATTCCAGTCTGAAATAAAACTTGACTTTTAATAATATTTTTTAGTTGCAATCAAACTGAAGAGTCTAATTCTATCTTGCTGGGATGGCTTCCCACGCACACACACACACACACACACACATTATAGCTTTTTTTTAATAATTCCATGTAGCACACCCAAGCAGTACACAGCCTGTAGGACAGCTCCAGGGCTGTTCCACACAGATCAGTCTAAACGTTGCTACAGCCTTCATTAGAAACAAGACCACGCATGCAGTGGTGTGGTTAAATTCTGCTGATCATTCCTGAGAGGTACTCACCTCCAGGTACACCATCCATGGCATCACCAAAGTAGCCACCAGCAAATCTGCCACTGCCAGGCTCACCACGAGGTAGTTGGTTGTGGTTTGCAAGGTGCGTTCCCTCAGCACAGCCAAGCAGACCAGCACATTCCCAAAGATGATGGCCAGAATCAAGATGCAGTAGCAGAGGGCGTAGTAGGCGTGTGAATGGGGCAGCTCAGGCTCTGCGGTGCTGTTTGCCCCACAGGGAATGGGGTCTGTTGTGTTAGGATGGCTGCTGGCTCTGGTGAAGAGGGCCATGGGGCTGCCACTGCAAGGAGAAAGGACTGAAAATCAGAGCTCTGCAATGACTGTGGAAAACAGTACCCCCTGTGGGTATTGGTATGATTTTTATACTTTCTGTATGAATTCTCCTTCAAGCCAATCAGAAAGGTCTTTTTTCTGCTCATATACAGGCAGAGTTTTGCTTAAAGACTTGCTTGGCCTGTTCTGTTCTTCACTGAATCTAAAGCAAGAGAAGAATGCAAGATTTCACCTCCTGTCTGCATGTGAAAGGTGCATCTTACCAACCAATGCAGCTGTTTGGAAAGCGGGCAATGGTTTTGAGAAGCACCAAAGTCACACCACAGTATAAGTCAGCCGGGCAAGAGTGCAGCCTGAAAGACAACAATTTGAAATGATGAGCAAGACCCAATACAGCTACCCAAACATACCAGGGCTTGGCCAAAATTTGGAACTTATATCTTTTCTTCTAGGAAGTATCCTCTTCTTTCTCTCATCAAAAAATGTCTTCAATAAGTTCACACACTCAAGTGCTAGGCAGCCTGGCAGCAAGCATCACCTCCAGAATTCCTCCTTTCCTGCAGCATGTCCCAACCCCTGCCTGCCTTGTAAAGGGTTGACTGCTGGTGCTGTTCCCATTCCATCCACACCGTGCTCTGTGTTTTCTATGCCTGGCCAGAAGATGTGCTTCCTGTGCTGAAAAGCAAACCAGCTTGATGTTTGGGATGAAATAATGGAAAGATGCTTGCAGGGTGCTCTGCATTTCTTTTTCTTACAATAGATTCAAGTCTGTTCTCAATAACCTACCCTTCCTTGATTTAAGAGGAGGATCTTTTTCCAGAAATATGAAAGCTGCTGTACCAAGGTTGCTCCATGACATTTAATGGCTTGTATCTTTTTTTCCTTTGCTACTGCTCCTGTTGCTGAACTCATCATCAGTATGACAGGTATGAAAATCAAGGACAAAACATTGCAATGCCAGTGGTATAAATATTACTCTGTTTCACCTCACCCCTTGAACAGCAGCATCTGTGATGCACAGCTGTGCAATGGGTATAAATTTCTCCAGCCCCTTGGGATATACTCATCCTTAAAACTGTTGCCACTCCCCCCTGATGCTTTGTAGCTGGGAGAGGACAAGGGCTGAATGAGATGGAAACTGAACTTCCCCATGTCTTGTGAACACAGATCCCTCAGAACAGGGGTGAAACAATCTCTTATGGCTTGTGCTTGTCTCCTCTATCTTTCTTCTGCCTGACACTGACAAAGAAGTTAAGCTTTCCACTGGATCACAAAGATCTCTTGTAGCATGACTGCTGCTGCTGGGTCCAGGACTGTTCATAAAACAGTTGAGCTGCAGCCACCCAAAGACAGGATTCATTTTACTGTGTCCCTTGCACACAGTTCCTACTCTGGGAATTCTGTATTGTCTGGAGCCAGGAAAGGCCGGTACTGTAGTGCTGGAAAAAGCAGCTGCCTAGGTGATAAAGCAAGGCCAGAACAGGGAATGAACAAAACACCACCCATAATATACATAACCAGAAGGCGCAAGGCAGCCCAACACACAATTTGGCTGTTGGTTTCCTGTCTTGTCTTCTGTTTCTTATATTCACGAGCACTATTTTCGACTCTTATCCCAAAGTCAGTCTTCTCTACCAAGATCCCTCCCAGCCCCACCAGACTCCTCATCCCTGGACTGTCCTCAACGCTCCCCCCCCCCCCCCCCTCACAGAGGGCTGGCAGGACACCCACCACCCTGGGTAACGGGGCGACAAACTGCCATGGGACAAGAGGCGCAGCCGTGGGAAAGAGCAGGGGGAGGGGAAAGGGGGGAAAGGGGGAGAAAGGGGACGCTCCTCCCGTGCGTCACCGCTTCGGAGGGGTCCGGGTGCCTGTCCCGGCCCGGATGGCAGGTCCAGGTGCGGGAAAGGGTTCGGGGTCCGAGCGTGGGGTCCTGCGGGTGCTGCTCCGCTCCCGCCGCTCCGCTGCTCCCGCACCCGAGGGACAGCGGGAGCTGCGCCGCTCCCCGTGGCGCCCCCGGGCCCGGCTGCCGTGTGCCCCGGCGATGCCGCGGGGGGCCGGGGGCTGGGGAAAACCGGGCAGGGAGGGAGGCGGGGAGCCGCGGGAAAAGGGACTGCCGGCACCGGGCGGAAGGGGAGCGGGAGGCAGCAGTCAGGACTTACCCCCGCCCGTCGGGCCGTGCCGCCGCCGAGCAGAGCTCGGTCCCGGTCTGGTCTCCGGTCCCGTTGACTCCCGGCTCGACCCTCTCCCGTCTGCCGCCTTCCCGGCGCGGAGCCGCGGGGCGGAACCCGGCTGGCCACCTCCTCCCGCCCGCCCCCTGCCCCGGGACCCCGCGGTGCCCGGCCAGGGGCAGCGGGGCCGGGCTTGCGCTGCCCGCGCCCCCCTCAGTGCCGAGAGGCTGCCCTGCTGCTGAAGGGGCGCGGCGGAAGGCGTCTGGGCCAGTTTTGGCGCCGGGGTCCGCAGCAAGGGCGTGCTTTGCTGAGGGCTGGAGCTGCTCCTGCCTGGAGGCGAAGCGGGGCGCCGGGAGCCCGGGGCGCCGGGAGCCCGGGGCGCCGGGAGCCCGGGGCGCCGGGAGCCCGGGGCGCCGGGAGCCCGGGGACAGGGAGGGAGGCGGGGAGCCGCGGGAAAAGGGACTGCCGGCACCGGGCGGAAGGGGAGCGGGAGGCAGCAGTCAGGACTTACCCCCGCCCGTCGGGCCGTGCCGCCGCCGAGCAGAGCTCGGTCCCGGTCTGGTCTCCGGTCCCGTTGACTCCCGGCTCGACCCTCTCCCGTCTGCCGCCTTCCCGGCGCGGAGCCGCGGGGCGGAACCCGGCTGGCCACCTCCTCCCGCCCGCCCCCTGCCCCGGGACCCCGCGGTGCCCGGCCAGGGGCAGCGGGGCCGGGCTTGCGCTGCCCGCGCCCCCCTCAGTGCCGAGAGGCTGCCCTGCTGCTGAAGGGGCGCGGCGGAAGGCGTCTGGGCCAGTTTTGGCGCCGGGGTCCGCAGCAAGGGCGTGCTTTGCTGAGGGCTGGAGCTGCTCCTGCCTGGAGGCGAAGCGGGGCGCCGGGAGCCCGGGGCGCCGGGAGCCCGGGGCGCCGGGAGCCCGGGGCGCCGGTGCTGCGGCCGGGCGCGGGGAGATGCCTCGGCCGGGGCTGCTTGCCCAGCAGGTAGAAAGTTGTCACTTAAAAAAAAAAAAACAACAAACCAAACCCAAAACCAAAAAAACAAACGGTTGGAAAAAATTATCAAAGCAGAGATGATTTTAAGAAGGGAGAAGTTTAAAAAATATATATCTTTAAATAAACTAACTTAAACCTGAGATGGAGGAGCGCGGATAAGCGAGGAGGAAGCTGGAAAGGAGACAAGTACTGGGAAGCATCCTTCTGCAGAGACCACTGCCAGTAGGCACAGCACAGATGGCCAGGGCATGGCTACAAACCCTGCCACATCTCTGTGATGTGGCTTCCCTTGAGGTCTGAGATCAAGTCCTCTGAGGTACAGTTCTCCTCAGACTGTAGTCACTGGAGTGATGTCAGTGGATCTTCTCTCTTGAGGTTGGGTTGTGTCACCACCCACTCTGGCACAGCAAATGGGGCTTGCAGGGAGTTGTCAGGAGGGTGCAGGAAGCTCAGCAGCAGGGCTGAGGTTTCCCTTTGCTGCATGTATGACCTGTGGCCCTGGCAGGAGGAGACAAAGTGCCCTTCCTCTTTATGCACCCACAGGTCAGAGTGGCCACAGACTGGCTTGTATGTGGACAAGGAAAAGAGGAGATCCTGTGGAGAGCAGAGCTTATCTACCTATTTTTAAGAATTTACTTCAGAAGGATGTGTTGGGACTTGGACTTCCTGGGTCATCTCTCCTGCCTACAGCTTTGCAGGCTAAGCTCTTTATGGGTGAGAGTGGTAGGAGGGAGGGGTGCTGTAGAAAGCCCTCACACCCATCAGGTGAGAGTACCATCTTTATCCTGGCAAGGGATGGTGTAAGTGCCCCTACAGACTTACATGGGACTAATCAGCAGCCCTGCCTTTACCCAAGGCTGACTGCCCCATGGCTGTGGATGGCACTGCAGGGGTGTGATGAGTCACTGCCCAGTCCCTAGTCACGGCACATGTGTCCTGCTGGAGGATATAGCTGCCAGGCTATGAGACCAAATGACCCGTGAAGGGCTCTCCAGCCCCTTCGTTCCCTTGGAAGCCCCCAAATGGTGTGACATGGACTACATTACTGTGCTTACATTAGATTTGTACAGCCCAACTTCTGCCATCAGCTGAACCATAGTGCTCTCTTTTGGGGAAATGCACTCGCTAGCGGTGCCTGGGGCAGTCAAGGAAGGGGGGAAGTCCTCCTACCCATGTCCAGAAGAGGCTTTTTTGCTGTGAGCTTGGAAAGAGTCCAACACAGCCTCACTTGTGTGGTTAAAGCTGGAGGGGAAAGCACACACCGTCATGCTTATCCTGACTGGCGAGGGCTATGCAAGTCACAGGCTGGGTTTGGATGCCTGGTGAACATAACTCCTCACAGCGGGGCTGGCAGAGAGATGGAGGCATTTTAACTTCATTTTAGCAGTTTTTAAATGCAGTTTGTTTGTGGGCAATTCCCAAAGGAGTGTGGCTGGCAACTTTCTCACACTGGCTCTAGGGTGATGGGGCAGCAACTGGCCTTGCTGCTGTCAGCTGTTCGATGTAGCAGCTAACCACAGATCAATAAAGAGACACTGCCTGCCCCTCCTCGAAGGTAAGGGAGATGCAGCAGGGGGAATGCACTGCTATAACCACAAAATCACCATTGCTTTGCTTCACATTTTTATCTTCCAGTGCTGAAACTTTCCCTTTGCCTTGCCTTGTGTGTCAGTGGATCCCCTGGTTCAGTCTCCTTTGTGAAACTTGTTTCTTGCTTTTAATTATTTTTATCACATTTCTTAATATTACTCTGACTCCAAGAAAAAAAAAAAAAAACAAAACAGAAAACAAAACATAGACTCACAGAATCATAGACTGGTTTGCGTTGGAGAGACCTTAACACTCATCTAGTTACAATCTGGCCTTGAACACTTCCAGGGATGGGTCATCTACAGCTGGGCAACCTGTTCCAGTGCCTCATCACCTTATAATATCTTCCTAATATCTAAACTAAACCTATCCTCTTTCAGTGTAAATCCATTCCGCCTTGTCCTGTCACTAGGTGCCCTTGTAAAAAGTCTCTCTCCATCTTCCCTGTAGGCCCCTTTAGGCTGGAAGGCTTCTACAGGGTGTTCTCTTGTCCAAATGTAATTCTCCAAAAATAATCTAGTTGTAAATGCTTCTGTTCTATTGAAGTTCATTATTCTAAATACTCCCTCCCCCCCCCCCCTTCCTGCAATGGCTCCCTTCACACCCCCTTGTCTGGTTTTTCCAAGACTGGAAGCTCTTTGGGGAAGGGAATTAATGACTTTCTTGTGTTTGCTTTGCAGCAGAGGTCTTGTGGAGCAAGATAATAATCTTTGTGATAATTTAATTTAGAATAGATTGCACCATACACAGAGGCAAGGCTGAATTAAAATTGCATAAGCAATCTAGATTGTGATATTTTCAATGGGTTTTATTAACAGTACAACTTCTTTAATACAGTGGTTAATGCAATGTCTCTCTCATAGAATTCTCTCCTTCTCCCTACCCCAAAATCAAGTGTGTGGTGTATATTTGCCCTTGTTAAACATTGGACACATTGCAAGCCTTGGTTGTCACATCATGGTATCACTGGAGCAAGGCAGAGAAACAGGTCAGTAGTAAGTTGTTAGAACCTCAAAATGAAAGAATATGCCAACAGGCATTGCTGAAACTCCTGCTTCTCCCACTCCTTCACAGGCTTTCTGTTCCATGTGCAGAAAGGGGAGAGGTGCCGTACTTCCCAAACCTGGTTAATTCCCAGCCTGTTTCTTTGTGCTCACCTCCAACACCAACTCCTTTATTCTCCTTTTCAGTCCTATGTGTCCTCCAGCTCTTTGGTAAAAATTTCAAATAACTTAGAAAAATGCCAGTGTTCCCTCTTAATATTTCTCCACCTCCTTGCCTGTCAGTCCCGATGTTCCTCTGTGCTGTTTGCCCAGTGAGGTTTTGTGCACTCCTGTTCCCTTGTGCATCTCTCCAGCCTGTGTTCGAGTTTCTTCCTTTGGTTTCCAGCCACAGTCTCAGCATCCTGCCCAGTTCCCAAACCTGTTTGTCCTTCCCTACTAACGCTGATTCCCAAGTTCCTCACTCTTCACTTTGCCATCTCTGGCTGGTTTGCTATGCTCTCCACTCCTGCAGCTTAAAGGATTGTTTGCAAATTTTATTTGTTGTGATTTCACACCACAGTTGCTGTCACTACAACCAGTATTTGAGGTGCAGTGTCTAAAATGTGTCGTTCAGGTGGAATAAATCCTCCATCCTACTTCCTGCAAGCCAGGGTGCCCTCGTGACAGTGTTGTTAAAATGCTCTGTATCCATAGGTTTTTTCAATACCTGACTGCATAAAGCCCTAATTTGACCTCATGACTGACCCTGTTTGGAGCAGGATGCTGGACTAGGCACCTCCTGGGTAGTCTTGCCAAGCTGAGTTATCCTACACTGACGTGAAAATAATCTTGCCTGCTGGGTGTGAAGTAAACAGAACCTTTTTGGCTAGCACAACCTGCAAACTTCCAAGAAAACTTTAATTCATACCCATACCATCTAAGCAGGATATGCCTGCTTGGCCTCAGTAGCTTTAATTTTTTTACAAAATTCATCTGTTTTCACAGTGGTGGCCAAAATGGAACTCAGTCAGCTTCAGGATTATCTATGCACAGTAGCTTGCAGAATCAGTACAGACTCCTTGGAGAAGCTACCACAGCTCATGTCAGATAAGATTCATATTCAGATCCTGCTGATACTGATTCCCTTCTGCCCAGCCTTTACCTTCCCTGTCCCCTCTGCCAGCAGTATGGAAAAAAGGTGGCGCATCCCAAACCTGCACAGCCCACAGAGATGTGGGTTTAGTCCACAGGGAGTTTTTGCCACGCAAATCACATCTGCAATGGATTTTATACAGCAAAACATTCTGACTCCAAGGGTGGGTGGTAACATAACTCTCTCATCTGCTGGTTAGGTATTAGACTGGGACTTTCAAGTCCAAGTCCTCCTGCTTTACCTCAGGCATAATCTGGTTTAGAGGAGCTCTCTCTATTTGGCAGAATTGTGACTTCAGGCACTGTATCCCATAAAGCAGGCTGACTGGATAAAGCCAGCATCCTGCCAAATTCCTCTCTAAAATGACTGTTTTGATCTTGTTTTGCTTTAGTTAAATTTTGGTCA